AAAGCAGGCAGAGGTATAAAGATCAGATGTAGGCCCATGCCACAAAGCCGAGCTCCATATCTACTTCCTCCCATTACTCTGTTCCAGTTCTATTCTGTGATGCTTGTGGTGATATTGTACCCAGGTTTCGGTTCAGCCCATTATGGAAAATTAGGATTTCACATCCAGATCCTGAAAGCTCCTGGGAATGCTGGGATTTGGGTTTTGATTCATGTAGATGTCTGCCAGGGGCTAAAGCCTCTGGGTGCATGCCTGGACTGACAGGTTAGAAAAGGAGTGGGGTTGTAATTGTGACAGCCTTTTCCGGCAAAGGAGGAAGAGAAAAAGAACTGAAAGGCAGAGGATTTTGCTTTCCTACATGCCCTCTGGAATGAGGAACCCCTTTGTACCCTCCTACCTGTGACCGCTTCTCAGCTCTGATCTCCCCCAGAGGCCAATTTGGGAAAGGTCAGGGACCCCAGATGTGGCTCCTGTGGTCTCTCCTCGGGTGTTCACAGCAGGTATCTCCAATCAAGTGCAGAGCAGCAGCGGCAGTGCATGAGGCAAAGCGGTTACCTGCTCAGGTTGACTGAGAGGGCTGGCTCCTGGGTGCCAAGCCTTGTTCTGAGGAGGAGACTTGGGTGTGTTCTGCCCCTGAGGAGAATCAAACAGGTTTCTCAGTGCAGAGGCCTGGCTCCGTCCTTGCTGCACATTCCTCACATTCCCGCTGAGTGCTACTTCACCGCCTGCACACAGGCTTGCGGACAGTAAAACTTTGTTGTTTTTTTTGCCTTCCCCTCCTCTAAATTCTTTCTTCCATCAATTTGTTAGCACTGCCCAGGGTTTGATTGATCTACCTGCAACAAGGAGGAAGCGGCTCCTCAGTTTCACCACTCTCTCCTAATTACTAATTACTAGTCAATTACAGTCGAGCCTGAGAAAGCAGCATATGGGACTGCGCTTTACTACAGCCCTGGTGCCGATGGCACAGGGATAGGAGCGGGGACTCAGACTGAAGTAATTACCACCCAACAGCTATGTGCTCATTCCAGTTCAGGCTTCACACTGCCCAGTGAGTAGGGTAGGCGTTATCATCTCCATCTTACAGAACAGAAAGTAGGAAGTGGCAAGGTGCTTTCACCAAGGCTCCTCTTCTCATTTTATTTTTTTCCTGTTGTGGTAGGTGTCAAGGGAGTCTGATCTTGCTAGTGACTCCTAGACAGACTTGGGGGAGAACCAGCATCTTTGTGCCATCGCCCTCCTTTCCCATCAGTAACGCCCAGGTTGATGGCAGAGACAGTGGGCAAAGGAAACAGAATGCTTTGTCCTGATTTCCAAAGCCCCTGATGCCCACAATTCCCATTAGAGTCAATAGACGATGTAGGTCTTGAGCCATTCTGAAAAATCAAGTCATCAACATCCTGCTGCACAGCATGAATCTCTCCCTTCTGTCTGTTCTGTTCTGTTCACCTGGAAATGAGGCACCAGCCTTTCCTTGAAGTACCACCAAGTGGCCATCAGACACGGTTTGGAAGGCATTAGGACTGGGAAGGAGGCAGCCTAATTTCATCCAGCTTGCTTTGGGACTCACTTGCTTTGGGACCTTGGGCAAATCACTAAAGTTCATGGTTTCCCCCTCTGCTAATAAAGATGATAACTACCTGCCTCCCAGGAGAGTAGTGAGGCTAATGTTTGCAAAGCCCTGATATAAATTGTTATTGCAGTCCCAGATCTGTATCACTGAGCTGTTTGGACTGCACTGCCAACACCAGTCAGGTGAGCCATCTTCCCTGGGGTCTCTTGGTGATACCATTTGAGACAGGGATGGAAGCTATGACCTAATCTTTATAAATACTACTAAACCCTGAGCTGGGAATGGAGGGAGAAAAGGCTGGTTCTGATTGTTAACATGAGGAAATAGCTTGTTAAAAAATCTCCCAAATTCCTGCCTCTGAAGACATACTCCCTGCTTCAGGACTCACACTTCAGGTTTTCCTTTCAGGCACAGCTAAAATACCATTATGACTCCTAAACCATCTTTATGGATTATCTAGGGCCTTTCCTGCTTTTTACTGCAATGAAAAGTTCCTCCCAAAACTCTGCTGAAATGCCTCAGCCCTGACTTATAGCTCCCCTTCTCCCCAACTGCTATTCCACTCATGGTGTCTCCAACTCTGTCCGTACTCCTACTGACCATTTCACCTCTCAGGAACAAAAGATTGCCACACTGAAGCAATGAGGATTCCCCAGGCTTTGCATCAAAAGGACGTGTTTGTTTTCCCGGTGGATGTTGTTCTGCAGTGAATATGCACAAAGCACCCAACTGGATCACCTTAACAAAATGCATTTAGATAAAATTCCAAGAAAAGGAACAGTCCAGAGATCAATATGGCGACATGATAAATCTACTCTGTTACTGGACTGTGGAGAACTGTTTCCTATCCATTTCCCTTATCTGATCTGCTGCCCAGCTTTCTGTTCCCTGCCTTGTGTTCTCTGCCTGATCTGGTGCTCTGCTTTCTGTTCCCTGCCCTATCTGTCAGTGTGCTGTCTGTCTGCTCCCCAGTCTGCCATGTGGTGTAGACAGAGGCTGCCCATGCCATTTGTGGTACCCATGCTTCAGGTTGGCCACCATCAAGTTAGAACGCTAGATGATACACATGTATCAACCTGTCTTCCTCAGACACTCCTAAACAATCAGAATATGGAAGACACCTGGTGTTCTGATCAACTTTGGCAAAATAGCTGCTGAAATAATTAATCCTTTAGTTCAGAGATTCTGAACCTGGGTGCCAGTGTACACTGGGGTGCTTGAGATCCTTTTAAGAGTGCTGCAGGGTGCCATGCAAAGCTGGCAGTGTTAGCTGTACACACATGATTCACAGGATAAACCCAGAGATTTCAAATAGGAATCCATAGTGTTAAAAACATTCTGACCAGTTGTAGTCTTACTAAGGTATTTGCAACAGAAGAATTGTTCTATTATTTTTCCTTAGTCAAAAAACAAATTAAAATTAAGAGCTGGCATTCTCCTATGGGTGCCTTGAGTTTACAGAGGGGTGCTTTGAGTCTAACTAAGTTGAAAACCATTTCTTTAGTTACAAGGCTAAAATGTCAGTCTAGACATGTACATGAACTTCCAAACAATCATTTATGCATGTATGGCTGTTGCAGAAATTCATGTGTACGATAACCAAGAATCTATTGCTGACTTAGTTGTTTAAGTTATGCATTTCAGTTTGATGAAAGTCTTGATAATGAATATGATGAAATGCTGCACAGGCTAGAGCCAAATGAGACAGAGAGGTCTACAACCACCTCCTTCTCCAATATTCTGCTGAAATGCCTCAGCCTTGACCTGCCCCAGCCCCTTCTGCCCCACAACTGCCATTCCACTCATAGTCTCCCCAACTCTGTTGATGCCCCTGTATCCTAGCAGTCAGCACCCCCTGGTATTTCAGTGCTGAATTTCTACACAGTTTTGACAATGTCCCTCAGTTCTGAAAGACAAAACTCCCTACTATTCTAAATTTGGGCCTACATCAACTCTGCCATTTTGTATCTCAGTAAGGCAGAATATATCACTCCCAGTGTACCATGCCACATATCACATTGGTCAAATACATCTATTGCCCGTTAGGAACGTTGGAATATACATGGGGATCTTGTTCAACATGGAATAATTCTACCGTGACAGAGATGTGAGGATAACTGTTCCATGTGGTCATTCAGTTTCAGAAGAAAACTTTATTCTGGTGCAATCCCCTCACTTCCAACCTTAATCTCATTTAAAACCATTACAGATATGTTATTATAATTATTATTATTATTATGGAGCCAGTAACATTTATGAATCACAGCCCTCTGGGTGGGAAGTAACCTGGGTCTCAGTAGTATAACTAGGCGTGGGTGAGCAGGGCACCAGCCCTGACACTGATTTAGAGGGGTTATAGAAATAGGGATTCCCAGGGTGCCACCATTGCGGCAGCAGGGGCTGCTGTACCAACAGCTCGCAGTTTAGCAGCAGTAGCAGCAATAGTGGCAGCAGTCTGCATGTGGAAAGATCAGACTCTCCAACACTTGGCAGTCTTCCAACTTTCCCTGGTGCTCTCTGGTACTCGGCACCTCCTGCCCAAGGTGCCAAAATTCCTAGCTATACCTCTGATGGGTTTTCAGCTCTTTCTTCTCCTTTTGTCCGCCTATGGTAGTTACATGAACTAAGGTATTTGAGTACTTCACAATATTTTTGATATATGTAGGTCCTCACAATAGCCCTGGTAAGCAAGGAAGTGCCAAAATCCCAAGTTTACAGGTGGAGAATGAAGCAGAGGTGCTAAATAAGCAATTACCCAAAGACTCATGCTGAGTATGTGGTGGAACATGAACCTGAGCATGTCCCCCAAGTCTTAGGCAAGCACTGTAACCAGTGGGCCATCCATGGTCAAGTTCTATAGTTGCAGTGAAGAATGAAACAGAAGCACCAGAGTGTAAGGCCTTGGTCATGACCACTTCCTACCCCCCCCTCTCTCTCAGCTGACTGGTAGCAAAGACTCCAGACTTTACTCTACTTGTGATTGCACCTAATGTCAATTCAAGTAGGCCTAATTCCTCTCTCACTAAAACCTCATTTAGAAACGTAACTCTGCTGAGTTCAATGGCGTGATTCTTTATTTATGCTGATATCATGATGAAGAGAAACAGGCACGCTGATGTCAGACACAGAGGTTTAGGGGATGGCACAGAGGGTCAATAAGAGCAGTGCTGTGCCCCTGAGGAGTAAGGCAGTCTACTCCACTTGAGAAGGGACTGGCTGCCTCATACCTAGTAGGGAGGAGAAGAAACAAACCATTCCAGCCCTGGCTGTTGCTAGGGAGGAGCCAAGGAGGAGGGTGGGTGTTTGGGTTTGGTGCTCGTGACACATCTAGAGTTCTCAGGGAACAGGTTTTCCTTCTGCCATCAGGCGGGTTAGGAGGAGAGAGAAACTATGGGAGGGAAGCACTAGGAGTTGCTGGTCCTCCAATGTTGATAGGGTGTGAAAAGGGAGCTTCTGTCCTCACAGCCAAATCACCTGCCCTTTGTGTACTTCAGTCAACTAAAGCTGGGTGGGGAAGGGTTTTATTGTCTTAGGAAATGTTCAAGATTACAAAAATGTTCCTGTTCTACAATGGAAAAAACAAGATTTTAAGCAAGAAGAAAAGAGAAGAGACCTAAGCCCCAGCAGAACAGCTAAGCTGGTAGGTATCACCTTGGATATACACAACGAAGGGCCTGATTCAGACCAGGATTTGAAGGTCAGTGTCCCCCATCCTAGGAGAGTTTCCTAACTACAAGGCTATTTATTGCCTAGCCTGCGGTGGGACTCTCCTGCTGA